TGTATGCCCTATTATAGTTTTCGTATATTCAGGCATATAATAAATTCCTTATTTCAGATTCGGACAAACCGCCGAACCAACTAATTTTCATTGATTGGCAGGTTCATCCAAATCCGAATGCACACGTCTACTGATTAGGGATGCACCGATTCCGATACTAGTATAGGTATTGGTGCCGATAACAGTATTTGGGCGAGTACTTGTACTAGCCCAAATGCTCAGATGCCTTCCCCAATACCAGAACTCCCGGTCAGAAGGAGATTTCCTCTGACCAGCAGTGCAGCGAGGAAACATGGAGCTGGCTTCCTGACCAATCTGGGTGGCGGATATTGACCTGCCTCCCCGGCTCGATGCTGATTGGCTGGAAAACTGGCTTCCCGGCCTATCAGCATTGAGCCAGCCAAGCAGCATGGAGCCAGCTTCCCGGGCAATCAATAAGCCAGGCAGTGACCTTAATGTCATGACTTGCCGCCCGGCTTCCTGATTGCCCCGGAAGCCGGCTACACGCTAGCGGAAGTACCGAAAGATAAATATCGGTACTCGTACTCAGTACCGAAAAACCACTATCGGTGCATCCTTAGTCCTTAGTAAGCCCTGATGAAGAGGGTATTTCTTTGAGCCTGTGTTAGCTATTTCTATACAGTTCCCTCATCCCTATATTAAAATGACACTAAACTCATTTAAGTACCCTAATTAACACAAATGTAGCAACACACACAGGGACCATAGGGATCAAAATTAGCCACTGTCCAGAAGCACCAATTCAGAGATGATTTGAGGATCTACAGCCGAATGATACACAAATAAGATACATTTTTGTTAATAGTTCAGGTACTTGAATGCATTTTTAAAGGGTTATTAAACTGCTAGCAAGCAGTAAATATATGCAAGACGATTAAAAAAAAAACTTTTTGAAAGGGTTAATACTTACCTGTGTCTCCGCCATGCACTCCCATGCGAACATCTGAAAATTTCTCGGGCGGCCGCAAAGGATCTTGGGTGCATGCGCAGTTCAGATGTTCGGCCGGGAGACGAGGAAAGACACAAGGTAAGTAAATGGAGCAGCGTGCACCTGCACAGACTCCGTGGGACATCAGAGGAGAGGAGGACAGAGGAGTCAGCGCTGGATCGAAGCGCTGGAGGGACAGCTAAATACTACAGGAAAGAAGAAGAAGATCAGATTAAGAAGCATCATTTAAGGTAAGTCCTTACTTTAGCACCGTGGGGGAGGGGGTGACTTTAGCCTTTAATGTCAATTTAACGTTTGAGTTTAGTGTCACTTTAAATAAGATGTACTAGGACTATTAAATGGAGTGTGGTGCTTCAATTCACCATCCTGCACTTTGACGCTACAAACCAAGGAGACAATGGAGATCCTCTGGAATGTAGAAGCTGCCTGTCCAGTAGTCAGATCACCGACTCTTTCACATCATAATTGGCCAGCCACAAATAGGATAAACCTTGTGGGTGAATCTCTTTCCAGTATCTGAGAACATTTAGCTTACCTCAATAAAATGATTATCTAACCTCAGCATAAAAAGAGAGAGAGGGAGGCAATGTGATTGATTAGATAACATTTTAAACAAATGGTCAATAGCCTTTCCACCCCCACACTTCACCACACCACTATTCACTTCATAGTGTTGTTTTACTGTATTTTAGTCACAAACTATTCAGGGCAGGGCTGCATTACAAAAATGCCTCAGACATACACACAGCATAAATGTATATATAGCAATGTGTGCTATATTTATAAAACGGGGATAACAAATGAAGTAATGCCCTTAAATATTACTTAGATTTACATAATGTCTGTTCAAATTATTGTAGGTCCATGCCATTCTTCTCCTCATCATACTCTCTATTAGACATGTGCACCAGCAAAAAATTCGTTTAGTTTAGTTTCGTTTTGAAAAAAAAAAAAAAAAATTCGTTTAGTTTAGTTTAGTTTTGAAAAAAAAAAAAAAAATTCGTTTAGTTTAGTTTACTGTACTTTAAGCCTAGATGTGTTGTAGAGGTAAAATGGTGTCAATGGTGCAACGAAATTCGTCCAATAACGAATTTCGGGAAATCGGGAATTTCGGATTCGTTTGCATTCGTCTTAGCTGTAATTCGGAATTCGGATGCATCCGAATCTCCGAATTTCCGAAAATTCGTTCAAAACGAATTTCGGAACGAACCGAATCGCACATGTCTACTCTCTATGTACTATATTTATACAGAATGGAAAATTCTTCTGTTATGTTCGCTTTACATGATACTCATGTCCCTACAACATAAAACTGATAAACACACACAATATGTTATATTTTATATAGGAATTCTAGTGGTTTGGGGTTATTTTTTTTAAAGTTCATAAGATCTTAAACTGATATTTTAAGAGCCACAATGTGTGTAGGGAAAGGGCTCTTGGGAGATGTAGTTCTGCTGGGTTTCTCTGTGTCAATAGGAACTGAGCTCCCAGCAGCTGCCCCTAGAAGAATTTTACAAGACTGGTGAAGACATCACATGAAGTAATGAAAGCTGTTTCTCGCTACAGGAACTATGTAAAAGAAAATGTCCATGCACCGATTGTTTGCGGCTGTCAAAACTTGTAGCTGTGTCTCCATAGACTTACATAAGCTGCCTGCACGTTTCTTCCTGCAGCTCCGGGCACATTAAAAAATTACCCTTTACGCTGTACGGGGCAACATGCCGCATATGACTGAGGACTTGAAGGGGGAACAGGACTGGGGGGAAAAATTGGACATACTTGTTAATCAAAGGGTAGCTGCACCTTTAACACATCTTTACATAAACTATGGTATATGGTCCATTCATGGGAATGGCCAGTGCCAAACAGATGCTTGCTGGACCGGGTGTAAACAGCGAGGGAGGCCCTGGTGCTAAAATGGAGGTTAGCACGGTATGGCATGGTACAGGGGTAGGAGGGTGGCTTTAGGTAAACATGTTAATGACACAGGTAGCCTTAGGCCTCATTCACACTGGGCATACATGGCTGTGCAGCGTGCACGCTCGTAAACAGCCGATCGGGGTATTGCGTGCAGCAGCCTGTTCTTCTCTATAGGAGGACGCGGCTGTACAGTGTCATACTGACACCTGAACTGCACATCCGTGCGGGTACGCGTGTCCGCACTTGGACGCAGACAGGATCCATCCTGTCTGCATCCATCCTGACAGCGTACAACCGTGTACTCCTATAGAGAAGAACAGGCTGTTGCGCGCAATCACACGCAGCACCTGTCCCTCCCGGGATCCGCTGTATACGGGCGTGCACGTCACACAGACGTGTACGCCCATTGTGATTGAGGCCTTAAAGTGATTATCACCACAGGGTCACTTTCACAAAACAGGTCACCTGTAAAAGAAGCCTTTTTATGCTTACCTTTCCGGCAGCCGCTGCAAGTATTCTATCCTTGCTTACCCTCTGGCCTCCAGCTTGTGTGTCACTACAGGACGTACGAGCTGGTGGTAAGAACCACAGCGGCTGCCTGGGGGAAAAGGTATTTGACTCATCCGGTTTTTATTGCTGTTTCTGTAGCCATCATTTCATGATGGTGCCTGAGGCAGGACTTAAACAAATTGTTTATGAAACATTTCCTTAAAGCCCAACTCCATTTTTTAAACAACAATTTAAACAAATTGCCCAGCACCCTCGAGGATAAAAAAGCACCTTTGGCTGAAATATCTCCTCTCCAGCGCTGTTTTATTTTATTTATGTTTGAGGCTCATTGAACAGCCTCTTATATATCTGATGACAGGACAGAGAGGCTGATAGTGACAGTGCAGTGGCACCTCCTCCATTCTTTCATAATTTGAAAAAAAAAACCTGGAGTTCTTCTTTAAGGATTAAGGAATTGTTGTTTCTAGGTTAGTAGGTGGAGGTTAGTAGGCATTTTTGTAAATGTCTTCCAAACTAATACAAATATTTCCTGTCTGTTAACACAGCAAGTCGATTTGATCCAATAAATGCACGGAGAACAGAATGCTCTTGGTGAGCTTTGTGCCAGTCACTGCTTCTTTGGTTTGGTATTTCTAGTCCTTTGTGCCCCCAGGGTGGTCATCTGTCCTACGATTTACTCTGAAAATCATGGCCTCAGGTTTGATTCAATGAACACTTGATCACCCTGACATGTTCCACCAGGCCTGGTAACAAAGGATGGCCAGACTCAAACATTACACGGTGGCACAAACTAAACATGAAGCAAAAGTGTGTCATTCGCAGGGAAAGGACGGCCGGGGCTGATTTTTAGTTATCTAGTCTCTTGTCCTTTGTTCTGCCAGTGTTACTTCCAAGAGATCAAACGGCTTTCACACACATCAAACAATGAGTGACAATGTCAACAACATCCTGCATCTTTGGGCCTAAATATCTCTATTGTGCTAAAAAAGTACACTATTTTTGTTTTGCACACACACAAGCGTATAATTCAGAATATTTTTTCAGACCAATGAATCAACAGCTAATACTATTCTAAATAATTAAACTGTTCTTAAAAATTCTTTGTCATTTGCCCTTTTATGCCTCATTCACATGTGGAGTGTTCCCCCGTTCAGCATAAGGGGCCATTTTCGTATGCTCCTGGAGCTGCAGCAAGAAGCGTGTGTGCAACCCATGTAACTCTATGGACGCAGGAGCTGTGCGCTCTCACACGCTGTTTCCCACAGCTCTGAGTTTTGACAGCCGCATACAAACTGTGTATGGACCTGGACCCATTATGGCTGTCAAAATTCGGAGGTGCGGGAAGTATGGTTGCCACCTTTTCTTCTAGTGAAACCCGAACACTCTAGCGACGCACTGACATTTTTTTGGGAGAATGAGTGTCGGCTTATTCATATGTAAATATCACAGTTGAGTTTTATTTTTGGTGGGTGTCCAGTAGCCCCTATCTTAATTTTGGTTGCCCCTGTCTGCATGACATCTTGTGTCCGGGTTTCTGCTGCCATGAAACCCGAACACAGCATTCAAAACCCAAACTGTCCGGGTGAATCCTGGACAGGTGGCAACCCTAGCGGGAAGCAGCGTTTGAGGGTGCACAGCTCCTACGTCTCCGTAGAGTTACATGAGCTGCCCACATGTTTCTTCATGCAGCTCCTGGCGCAGCAGAAACCGACCATTCAGAGCAACGCACCCCTTGTGAATGAGGCCTTAGCGCAAAGTAACAAGGTCTCTTAAAACCTTCCCCCGACTCACCTAAACCCACTTTTCGCATGCTCCCCGTCAGTTCCTTTACCCCATGAAAGCCACCATGAAATATCTAGTATCATGCCTGGTCTAAACACTGTTATGTAAAAAACAGTGGTGTATTTAGGGCATGGCACATATGGTGCATGCCCTGGGTGCCACTTGAAGGAGGGGCGCCACTCCGTAGGTCAACGAAAGTTCGCCGACCCATGGAGACAGCTAACTTTTGGATGGACACTCTGGTTGGCGCTCCGTCCAGCTCCTGGCAACCAGTGACATCACATGAAGAACCCCAGTTATTTGGGGTATGAAGGGTCATCTGATTCATTCCGCAAGACAGTCTTCAGCACTGTGGCATAAGGAGAGTCCATAGTCCTTTGTAAGCTACAATTTCTAAGGCTTGTGGCTTTTTTTTTATAACTGATACCTTTTCCTTACAATAGCATTAAATGTAACAAATAGAATAATCAGATGGATAAATAAAAAGCTTAAAGGAGAACTATGCGGTCAGTGTTTTTCCCCATAGTTCTCCTTCGGGTAACGGGAGGACACAAACTAGCGTCCTCCCGTTACCCGAAGGAGAACTATGGGGTCAGTGTTTTTCCCCATAGTTCTCCTTCGGGTAACGGGAGGACACAAACTAGCGTCCTCCCGTTACCCGAAGGAGAACTATGGGGTCAGTGTTTTTCCCCATAGTTCTCCTTCGGGTAACGGGAGGACACAAACTAGCGTCCTCCCGTTACCCGAAGGAGAACTATGGGGTCAGTGTTTTTCCCCATAGTTCTCCTTCGGGTAACGGGAGGACACAAACTAGCGTCCTCCCGTTACCCGAAGGAGAACTATGGGGAAAAACACTGACCCCATAGTTCTCCTTTAAAGCAATACAACATGGAAGGGCCCTTTAAGGGTTGGGAGATGGCAATGTCCGTTACACATCCAAGAGTTGATCGTCTATTGAGCAATTAATTTGTTGTGATCACATAGGTGGTAGCCTAAGACCAGAACAAGGACCACATACCCTACACTTTCACTATGGGTCTGCTTCCCCAAAGGAAAACTCACTCCACTGTGTATTTATTATGGAGTAGAACCAATTGTGTCTGCAGGAGTCTGAGCAATCCACTGAAATTGAAAAAAATAAAGTAGAAGTGAAACCCAGTTGTCCAGTTGGGGAGATTTCCTTTAACATCCTGTCCCATAGCCACAACAGGAAGTGAGAGGAAATCTCTCCTAAAAAAGGGAAATCACTGGTGGTCAGCAGGGTCACCAGAATTGGTTTCCCATTAATTCCTATTCTGGTGACAACACAAAATTTGGGATTTTCTTTCACTTTTACCAGGACAAAGAGAGAGGATGAATCTCCTTAACAGGGACACAAACACCAATAAAAACCTGAGAGATGTTCTAATCCCTCTCCACTCCAAAAAAAAAAAAAAGTTTTGGCTTCCGTGGCACTTAAAGAAATGCACAATTTTATTTCTATGAATATGGGTGCATTTTTTTTTTTTCAAAAGGTGGACTATGCCTTTAAAGGAAATGTACCCTAAACACTGAGGCTGCCATTGCTAACTTCTCATGCTGCAAATGCTAGTTTTCTGGCTGTAATACTGACCTTGAAATCAGGGGTGAGCAAACTCCGTCTCTCCAGCTGTGGTGAAACTACAAATCCCATGTCTCTGGGAGTCATGTCTGTGCCTGTGAGAATCTCGCAATGCCTCATGGGACTTGTAGTTCCACAACAGCTGTAGGGCCATTGTTTGCCCACCCCTGCGTTAAATCACTAACCCAGAACAAGTTTGTAGATAAGGAATTCTGACCTTTCTTTTTCCTGCTCTGCTTTCTTGTTCTGGGATAGAGACTCAGGAAGTACTGAAGCTATTGGGTTAGCATAAGGCCCCATTCACATATGGATGTAGCGGGAGTAGGCTTTGTTTCCCACGTTTGGGTAACACGTATTGATCCCCATTGGGTCCCTGGACGTGTGCCAAAAGTGGAAAAGTAACACATGTTGCGAATTTGTCCATGCGTTTTTTCCTGTGCATTTGTGCTCATTTTCACATGCGTGAACACACGAGTGAAAACCCGCGTTTGGTCAGCCGTATTTGGGGTGCCATTACCTAGTACTGGTAACACAAGTCTATGCAGATATCGTAAACGTGTGTCGAAGAAGGATACGCCCTGGTGTGAATATGGCCTAACAGCCGGTCAATTGACATTTTCAGAAACAGGTCAGCAATGGCAGCCTCCACATAACATATTTATTATGTTTATTTGACTAACAGTACACCCTGCTGAACACAGGTCCAGAGAGCAGTCTCTGCTTCTCCCCCAAATCTCAGCAGGCTTCAGTCAGTCAGCTGCCCACTAGCTTTGATCTCCAAGCCCATGTGTTGTACCCATAAACGTGTCCTCATCCTGCCAAAAGCCAAGTCACTATTGAGCATGCGCAGTGCCCTTACTCAGCTTAGGGAACGTTTTCAAATTGTCTCTCTCCTTATCGCATTCCAGCCCGCGTCTTCTCACGGCTCCTCTCCCTTCTGGACTAACTGCTTTCTGAAGGTAGTTGGCAGACGCTCCCTATTTCATATCCCTGTAATAAGGGTTAGGTTCGCATTCCTGCCAGTGACTGCAGCGAGCCCAGGGCGCAGGATGCGGGGGACTCGGCGCTGAGGCTCGGGGTGCAG